CCAGGTCTGTCTAGGGTTTGAGGACGATTTCAGAGTTTATATAGTTGCCAAAAGATTGGTTTCCATAAGAGTTGGAACAAAATAAGGAAACTAGAATTTTCGCGCTCATATTGAACAATGCGACATCATGGTTATAAAAATTTGGCATTGTTCATCTCCTATTGGTGCTTGTGCGACTGCATGAACTTTCTACCATGCGACTGTATGGTAGAAAATATTTTTCATTTGGTTCAATTTGGTCTCCAAATTTTATTTCATTTACTTTTTAGCCTTACTTTCTTCTTCTTCTTCTTCTTCTTCTAACATTCCATGACATCACAACGTGTTATTTAGCTCAATTCCATGCTTGATTCGCCATTCGGATCATTTTCTGAATAATTGTATTTTGGTCCTCAAAGTTTCATTTTTTTCCAATTTGGTCATTTTCGCTCGGCTTTGCATATTTTTCATTCCTTCCATCAATGTAATTCTACAAACACAAATTATATCGAATTAAGCCATATTTCAACATATACATTGAAATTTTTTCATATTTTGTTGCATAAATAAGTGCGCAAAACCCACGTATCACCTAACTTTGCAATCCTCCTCGCAGTTTCAACATGTCCCCATTCATAATTGAGAAACATTATCTTGATAATATAAAGAAAAAGAGACTGAGACTGAGACTGAGACTGAGACTGAGACTGAGACAATTTATGTGATATCATCGTAAATTCTATGTAGTTCAAACTCAACTTACTAAATATTTAAAAAATGATTTCAACGTGTTAAAGTGAACGTAAAAAATATACCATGTATAGTTATAGACTATTACATGCATAAAATTACACATCCATCTTAGAAATATACCAATTAAGCACATGTTATATTCCCATAGAATATTCTTCAATTTTATTCTTCAGCAAGGGCGAAGTGACCTCAATATTTTCCTCAAATGAAACATGTAGGGTCATTTTATTGTAAGAATGAAATTTGGATGGAAAGAAAATGAATTTTATGTAATTGAATTGTATAGAACTTGTTTTATTGAGAATTGTCAATTAATTGTGTTTGATTGATATAATTTTTCACCTGGAAAACATTGAAATTTTGAATTTTTTGGTGTTCGTTTGGCTTTTATATCCATGAAAATTGCCTATTAAAGGGATATAATTTGTTACAATTGGGGATATAATTTGTTTCCATTATAAAAAAAAAAAAAAGGGATAGAAAACCAATTCCTATTAAAGTGGTGGAAATTGATTTACCTCAAAAAGCAAGAAAATGTGGCAAACCAAGAAAATGTGGAAAAACAATTACCTGGAAAATGTTTCCTATCAAATACTCTAAAAAATGGAAAATGGCAAAAAAAAATTTCATCTACCATGAAAAACTTGCTCTATCAAACAGGGCCGTAGTTACTTAACTAGAAATCCATCTCAGCATGGCAACGAGGTTGGTTCCCAATTAATTGGGAATAGGGTCTCAATCATCGTCCAATTTCCCTTTGATTAATAAAATTATTTCTTTATAATAAAACTAATATTTAAAATATAAAAGAATTATAAACAGGGCCATAAGTGGAAATTGAGAGTTGCTCGTCCGCAATCCCGACCCCAAATGAGGTGGGAATGAACAAAGAATGAGAAGGAAAGAAGTAATCCCTTAATTGGAAGATAATGAAAAAAATGGTATCCTCGTCCTAAGGCTAAATTTATTTATAGCATCTTCAATAGAGTTTTTATTTATAAAGTGCATCTTATGTAATATAGAGAGTATTTTTAAATTTAAAGAGTCAAAATACTTATACACTCCAACAAACTCTCTATTTTGACTCTTCATTTTATTTATAAAAAAAAAACAATTTATTGATTTATTATCGTATTTTATTTAAAATAATTTTTTATATATCAATTGACCAATTATTTAAATGTAATCATTGTACTTAAGCTCCCGTTTGACTCCCATTATCCCGAAAACTTATTTCTCTCTTATTTCAACCATACAATCTTTTATAAAATAATATTACACGTATATTAAAAACTTTTTCAATCACACATTTCTACAAGAAATACTATTCAAAAATTATAATTTGAAATAATGGGGCCCAAATGGAGGCTAAGAATAAAAAGTGAGTTTGTCTTTCTAAATTTAGAGAATCAAACCAATATCTCAAAACTCATTTTTAAGCATTAACTCTCTGAAATAAATATTATTTTATATTTCGAAAGTTTCTTGAATATACTTTAAAGTTATAAAGCCTTTGACAAATTTTTATTGTACTAGATTTTAAACTTATGACGGCAACACCTGATCATATCCCTAATCCCTCGATAGCCTGATACGAAAAATTCCAAAACCCCTTTTTGTACTTGCCCTCACCAACTTAGTTGGTAGGTGTAATGTTGTGTAAAAAGGTCTTAAATCAAACCCCTTTTCGTCTTTTCATCTCCGCACACCTTAGGGTTTTCATAAACCACCCAACCCCTAATTATTTTTCTCTGCACCGCCCCCCTACGCCCCATCTTAGCTTCTCAATTTTTCTCCCTCCCTCCATTGTATGTCTGATCTTATTCACTAAACCCTTTCTCTCTCCTTTATAAATATTTACAAGAGAGAGATTTGAATTTAATCTCTGCTTAGCCAAGTTTAATCGTAGTGTAATCGTCAATCAACCGTGTTCTTCCGATCTGGGTTTAGCTTATTTTGAGCTCGTTTTCACTTAGATCTCTACTTTGCTTCATTATTTGGGTTCTACTAGTGCGTGATCTTAGTTGTTTTTTTATCTGATCATTCAATAAAAGCTCACAAATGTTGGATAAAGTAAGTGTTTATCTATTTTTAGTATAAATTTGATTTCTTTTTTTTTTGGTGATGTGATCAAGTTTAATTTTATTTGCTATTACTACAGGGATCAGAATCTGAAGACATGAATAGCCAAACTCCAACTCCTGACAGATCCTCCTCTTCTGACGGAAAACTGGTCAAAACTTGTGTTGATTGTGGCACCTCAAAAACCCCCCTTTGGAGAGGTGGCCCTGCTGGCCCCAAGGTATATATAAACATAAATATTTCGGGGGTTTGCATTTTAGAAGCTTATGATTAACCGAGTATGCGTTTGTGTTTAATGTGCAGTCACTGTGCAATGCATGTGGGATTAGGAGCAGGAAAAAGAGGAGAGCGTTAATGGGCGTGAATAAAGAGGATAAGAAATCCAAGAAATCATCAAGTAGAAAGAACATCTCTAGCAATGAGAGTAGTACAAGCATGAGTGGAGATAGTACCAGCAGCAGCAGCAACAAAGGGGTTGGTGATTCTTTGTGGGTATTTGGTAGAGATGTGGGATTGCAGAGACCAAGATCAAATACTGCTCAAAAGAGAAAGTTGGGAGAGGAAGAACAAGCGGCTTTTCTTTTAATGGCATTATCATGTGGATCTGTTTATGCTTAGTAGAGAAAGAATTGTACTTTTCTTTTTCAAATGGAATTTGATTTGCTCATTACATTATATTTTAGTTGGTTAATTTTGACTAATGATTGAGGATTAATACAAGACTAGTCTAGTATTATATTTATTTTAATGTATTTTATCTGTTTGATAGAATGGAGGGAAAATGTTTGGTCCAAAACTTCTTCAAGGAGGGAAATATTTGGACCTCACATATTTGATCTCCATTCTTCCCTCCCAAATTATCATCAAATATCTACCCTTAGAATTTTAAAAATAATAATATGAATTTCAACACTATAAAATTTAAATTACCATTTGAAATGGACAGCTTAATGCACTTAGACACCACAACTTCTTGACACATTCGACATCCAATACTAACGACTGCCATCGAGATGTAGGGGTTGGCAAAACACGACCGAACTCATCAAAATTGTCCAAACCGAACCAACCCGACCGGTTTTGGTTGATTTTTTTGTTGTTTTTACCCGAGTTGGATGGGTTGATTGTGTAGGCGGGTCGGGTTGGTTGTGGGTTAACTCATAAAAATCGAATAAAACCGTCAAACCCAACCTGACTATATTTATGAACTTTACAAGTGTTATAATATTGCTTGAAAATTTTTAGAATAATATTATAAGACTTGGATAAGATGCATTTTACAAAAAATAATATAAGCAAATACACATTCAATACAAAAATATTTTAATTGTCAAAAATATTTTTTGATTTCATATAATTTAATATCAATCTGTCTATTTAACATTTTCAGGCATGAAGTGCTAAAATAATTCAAATTTTTTTGTTCATTGCAACTATATAGACCAAATATTATATAAATCATGAGTCAATTATAAATCTGTCCAACCCGATCGATTCTTTAGTTTTTGTTGACAAGTTGTCCCAACCCGATCGATTCTTGATTGTGTTGGGTTGAGTTGGGTTCCAATCTTTACACGAGTTGTGTTGGGTTAAATTATAATCAAACCGATCATATTGAGTTAGGTTTGGGTTGAGGCAAAAATCGACCCAACCCAACCCAACCCATGCCCACCCCTATCGAAAGGTGAGGTGTGGGATGATCGTTGTTGAGTGGAGTAGCTTGCAAGAGAGGGGCACAAAGGGCACTAACCTTGTTGTAGACATAAATGTTAATAGCCTCGTTGCCGATTTGTTTGGCCATTTAGGATGGTCGATTATGGGCACCTATATGGTGTGATTGGAAGGAAGATGGGGTGGATTTATGGGAGTAAAGAGTAGCAGGGAGGTCAGATAGGGCAACTGCATTGGTGGATTGGAGATGAGTTTCGAAGCTAATAACTTTTTGTGCTATTCGTCAAAGGAAATTGGGGTTTCTTGGGCTCGGATATGAAAGACGATATATTGAATAACCCATTGAGTATTTCGAAGCGTAAGATCCTCGCCATGGACTGTTGCATCCATGAGAACAAGTTTATCTATGGAGGTATTCGATAATGGTTTTAGAGTCTTTTGTGAGATTGGATTTAACTCTTGAGTGCATGACTTGACCGTGAGATGGTTGAGCCTAGGTCATTGCAAGAGAGGTCGAAGCCTTATGAGAGGATTTGGTGAAGGCAACAAAACATGATTATATCCCTAAAAGGATCTGACAGGTGCATTAAGAATAAGTCGATCTTGACGTATCTAATGGCAAAGGATGGATTAGCTATGATGGTGCCATCGATTTTGACGGTGGCTGATGGATGCGGATATGTACCATCAACATACCCCATGAGATCATATATATCCAATTAATAAGGCATGGAATTGATTTTTTCAAGAGAGGTAGTTGGTTGTGGTGAGTTTGAGTCAAGTTTGGACTACAACATCGAAGGATATTTGAGGGAGAGAGGAGGCGATGGTGTTGGAGTTGGCCGAAAGAATGGAAGTGGTCGATGTGGTAGGGTTGGACGCCAATGTAGGGAGAGAGGGATCTTCAACATTTTTGTAATATTCTATTAGTGACTTGCACTATATATACTACTAGTTAGTAGTTCGGATTTTAACTCCTAATTGGATTAAATAAAAATTAGGATACAAGTTGATAGAATATATTGTTTAAAAATTATGGATCCCATAAAATAAATAACTTAATTAATTGTTGATTTTAATTTAACTTTTTTAGGCTAAGTAAATAGGGATTTAGCCCCTGTTTGACATCCATTTTTTTTTTATCATTTTATTTCCATTTCTTCATTTCACCCACACATTCTATTAATAAAATAATATTATACATAAATCCAAAAATTTTCCTTACTTTTTTACCACACAATTTTCCATTAATCACTATTCCAAAAATTATTTTTCAAATAAAATGGGTGTCAAACATGGGCTTAGTTTCTTGGGCATTAATAATCCTGAGAAAACCATCATAAATTAAAGATTTTAGTTTCTTGGTCCCACTCCATCTCTGTCTGGATCAATATATAAAATTTGGTGGGATCCATACCATGAGACTACATTGGCAGCCAGCCAATCTTCTAATGTCCTTTTCTAACAATTATTACCTATTAATTAATGTGTAGCAAAGCAAAGATACAAATACAACTCAACTGTCAGATTACAACCTTGACTGTCTCAATAGATTCAATGCTTACAAACCGTTGCTTAGCATTATCACACATTGCATTTATGACAATGCAAGTGTACCTCATGAGTTCAGTTTCATGCAACAAGAAAGTAATATTTAATACCAAGTTTTCTTGATAATTTTGTTTATGATTATAGTTATTAAGATTTGATCTTCATTTTAAATTAATCCTATAAAAATATTCTGCAGCTTTAAAATTGAAAAAGGTGACATAAATAAAGATACAAACTTTTGTTGACTAGATTTGTGATCAAATGACATCAGCCCAAAGTAGCATTATATTGAAATAAAGTAAATAGTCATACAAAATAGACAAATATTCTTGATCAATTGTAACTAAACCAGAATTAGGTGTGACTTCAACTGTAAATTCATCAAAACATGAAACTAATTACCACCAGTAAGAAGTAAATTTGCATGCATGAAGTAGATATAACAAGACAATAATAAAGAAGGGAATGTGCAAAGATTTGATTTAACAATGACACTTTATGTGCAAACTTGACTATTTTTTGTATCCCCCGTTTGTCTCTCATTATTTCAAAACATTTTTTACTACAGTAAGATTTTCTACTACACATTCATCCAATAAAATATCTTAAACACAAACCAATAAAGTTACTTTAAATTTCAATTACATATTCTCCAAAAAATATTATTTATTACTCTATTTCTTCTACAATAATGGGAAACAAACATTGTAACATAATTGGCATAAAAGAAACGAGACTTAAATTGTCAAGAATTTACTGATTACTCCACTGCATTCTTCCTCTTCTCGATGAATCAGAAAGGCTAATCCTGGAAATCAGAAATTTTCAGAATTTCACCACCTGGTATGAAGATCAAGAACTCAGCTCAGAATGCTTGAAGATCTGTGAATGGGACACTTTATTTTATGATGATAAAAGTGATTTTTTTTTTTTTCATTTTTATGAGAAAAATAAAAGTACCAAAAGCATTGTGATCAAGAAAGATATGGAATTTTTCAAGGGTGGAGACGATGAAGGTGGTGGTGGAGGATTTCTGTAGTAGTATGGAAAATAAGGCACAATTGGATTTGGAGGTGGTGGCGCAGGACCTGAAGGATAGCTTTTGTATGGCGGAGGGTAGTATCCAATAACACCACCCAGGGGAGGTGGTGGTGAAGAGTAAGTGTAGATTGCTGGTGGGGGGTTGTTGTATCCAGAAGGAGATGGTGGCGGAGGGCAGTTGGTGGTAGTGGAAGGTGGTGGTGATGGAGGTGGTGGAGAAGGTGGCTGTGGCGGCGGCGGTGATGGTATAGGAGTATCACATGGATTATCGCACGCTGAACACATTGTGCATTCAATCTGGTACTTTGATCCCACCCATGAAGTAGAATTTTCAGCGCCCACCAAACTCTCATTTACCAATATTATCAAGCAAAGATTCAGCAAAAAGAATTGAACTTTCCGATTAATCGCCATTTCTGCAAAAATTGTGCAAAAAAAGTTATATAGATCCAAGAAGAAATTTCAGAACCAAGAAATGAGAGCTGAGGAAAAGGGGAAGTAAAGTTGTGGTGTAATAGAGAATTCTTAAATCGGTCCACCGTACTTGGATTTAAGGTTAAAGTAATAGAGCATTATATAACACTAGTAAACAGTTAGTACGAGTAGAAAAGAAGGTGCACCGAGGCCTTTTACTTTCCCCTTGAATGGAAACGCGGAATAGAGTGGGGGTCTCTCTCTCTCTCTCTCTCTCAATATAAATTTTCAATTTTTATATGGTTGCGTGGAATAAAATTATACATATATTTGAACGAGATAGCAAAAAAGAATTAATGTAACCAATTTTATTCATATGTTATCGTCCGGTCCTTGTGGATGCATCAATTTTTTATGACTGTGTATGGTATAAATATGATACACTGTTGTCATTTTTTTTTTTAATCAATGGAGAAAGTTTGAAGTACAAAAGGAAGTGAGCATAAATTATTTTCCCTTGTGGATGAAGTTATGAACTTTCTAATTTCTTTGAAAAGAAGAATGCACTTTTTGCCAATTTCAATTACTCCTCTTTTACTTTATAATTATTTGTTTTTCTTTGTTTCTTGTTATGTGTGTATGCACTATATGGTCCCACGGACCCATTGAAATGGACTCTTAAGTTTAATAGTATTTTGATGTGGGTATGAATGCAGTAAATATACAAAAAAGCCATTTTACCATAAAGAATTCACCAGAATTGTACCAGAAATCTCACATGGAGGTGGGTCTCATCGATGAATAAAATATTGCAAAAAATGGCGGGCCCCACCTGATGTGTCTTTTCTGGTGTGTTTCTGTACACCCAGCAGAATTGGTAAATTTAATGTTGTTCAAATCCTTCTAAGGTGTGAAAATATAGCCATTTTCTTTGTATTGAA